GTGCCCCTAGCGCCCCTTGGCATAACAAGGAATAACGGCCACAAGTTGTTGGAGAATAGGTTTAGAGAGACATCTGTAAGAACTACTTCACAGTCAGGATGGCTAGGATCTGGAACCAACTTCCAAGTGAAGTGGTGCTGGCTTTTACCCTGGGGGTCTTTAAGAGGATGTTTACCTAGCTGGGGTCATCTGAGCCCAGTTTTCTCTCCTGCCCAGGCAGGGGGTCGGATTGAAGATCTACAAGGTCCCTTCTAACCCGACTTTTGTGATTCTGTGATATGTTTCTTAGTGCAGTTTGATCCTGGTACAGTAATCATTTTAATTTTTTCCTTTTTTGAGTCATTAAATATCATTTTTTTAATGGTCACATTACAGATATTAAAAACAAGAAACTTCCCCAAATGTACTGGTAAGCAATACAGACTAGCATTAATACAGGTACCATGGGGCCTGGGTGTTCAACCTCAGCCTGATCTGCAAAAAGTACTGAGCTTCATGGAGTTCTCTGAAACTCATGCCCATTGAAAGGCTTTCAAGTCGATAACCTAAAAATGGAGGCACCTTAAATCACTGGTAACTTTTATCTACAGTCTTAATGTAAGTTGTTCACCACCAGAGAAAGATGCCTTCCACTTTTCCTCAATTATTTTAGTCCTTCCTCAGTAGGCTAAAGGCAATACCCCCACATTTTATTCTGGAGCAGGATGATAAGGTCCATCTTTTAAAATCATTATTGAAAGAATAAATCTTTTCTGGCAGTAATAAAAGCCCCAGTAATAGCAATACCTTGTAAATTATGTGAATGTATTCCTCCATGTTACTTAGTCTTCTGAAACCTCTCTCAAGGTGCTAACCTGCAGGCTTTCCTTGCTCTTTACTAAGATCATATCAGCTGCAGAATAGACTCGCTGCTCCCAGTTCCCACCCATCTTCTGCAACATTACAAAGCTAATATAGTCAAAGGCTATATCTAGCTAGAGCTCCCCTAGTCATCCTCTCTTGTATGAACCAGTGTGCAGGAAGGCTGTTCACCATTTACATTCTTAATATCACGGGCTCACTGTTATCAATGTCCTTGATGACACTTGTAACATCATCATGGGTGTAATGACCCAGTAGAGGAAAAAGTGCTAATGTAGTGATGTGATCAGGTTGGTTTTCAAAGGTGCTTCAGTTCAACATCTATGCATGGAAAGTACCAGTAAATTCTCCTGAAATGCTTATCTCTGGCCAATTTTGCACCGTGGAAAAGAGTCTAAGAGGCCTGGCTCCATCTGCAGGAAGAGTACTTGGGTGCTGGCAGTATGAAATTTCATTATCTGAGCACGCTTCGGCACTGTCCAGCACAGGAGGCGTACAGGAGCAGAATGGTTGTATTAGGGCCTACATTGGGCAGCAGTGCAGAGGTTCTGGGCAGTACTGGCAAGCTTCGGGAACTGCTGCTGCGTTCAGAGAAACCCTGCGTAGGTCAGGTGCAAAGGTTACTTAAAGTCACTTCCCCCCCTTCCCAGTGTGTCCCTAACTGGCCCAAAAGGGAATCCCAAGTTCTGTTGCTTCCGATGTAAGAGAGGCAGATGCATAGCCACTGATTGGCTCTTTCCTTTAGGCTGGAGGAAGGTTTTGGTCCTGCCTGGGAGCCCTCTATTTCACTAAAGCTGTGATTTGTGGCATCACATGAACAAACTACCTTTAAGCATGTACGCCTGTCCTCCTGCCATATGTACCTGTTTGTTTTTGTTACCCTTGCACTGAGAATGCAGCAGCTCATGGGGGTCATGGACGTGGCTCTGAGCCCAGTGTTGTCAGAGCTGCTCCTGTCCTCCCTGTCCCCAGCAGCACTAATGCTGGATGTAAGGAGACATGTGTTGCGGCACCACAGATGTTTTTCCTAGTCTAGTGCCTCCTAGTTTTTCAAGTGGCTTCTCAGAGCAGCTGTTCCCATGTAGATGTCCTTATTGCCTTGGCTGACAGCCTCTTCACACAAATATCACTGAACTGAATCTGATGTGGCGATGGCCCTGGCCCTTCTCTTTGTGGCACCTTGTCTGCTTGTTATATTCTGCCTTATATTTGCCTATTCTTTTTTTAATTTCCTGAATTTTGTCATCTCCTGGCAGCCGAGGTGCAGGGTGGAGTAGCATTTTAGTCTGAGAAAGTATTCGTGTCTTAAGCTAAATGTAAAGAAATCTGAGTTCTGCATTCATCTCTGCCACAGTCTTCAACAGCGGTTTGTAGGCATGTCCCTTCTGTCTTTCTAAGAGCTCATACGACCTCTGTCACTAATATTTGAGAATACTAATACTTACCCCTTTTTGGTAAGCATTATTGGTTTTCTCCCTTGTCACGGTTGTGCTGTCCATCTCATGAGCTCTATTCTGGCTAGTGCCCAGGATTTATTTCACTTTCTCAGCCACTGCGAAACCAATGCACTAGGGACTTCTCTTGGAACCATTGCCCCTATACTCACTTGCCCTTGTCATTCTGGTCTCTTTGATCCTTTTGCCTTTGTGACTGTCTAGGAGGAAAGAAGGGGAAATCATTCTCACTTGGGCTGCCCTGAGTCTATGATGTCTACACTGGCTATAGCTTCCCTTCATGCAGGCTTCATGCTTCCCTGTTAATCATCTCTCACTCTCTTTCTGTCTTACGAAATCAAAGAAGATCAAGGTCCTTTCCTTGGCAACGTTTTAAACATATACGGCAATGAATAGCTGAACAAATTTTAATGGTAAGGAAGTTTTGCCTATGGTCTTGGCACTCCTGAACAGCGCCGTAATTTGACCCACAAACTACCCCATCTACCTGCACAGCTGATCATCCCTGTACCATTGCAGGGAAACAAGTGTCTTGTGCAGCTGGGAGAAAAATCATCCAAAAATGTTATAGGGAAAGAGCAAAGAAGGAACGAATCCGCCAGGATAGACAATCAGCTCTCTAAAAATAGGACCGAATGAGTATTTAAGAGTCCAGTGGAGAGATGTACATTCAATGTACTTGATACAGTTTTGAGTGTGGTATAAAAAAATAGCATAGGTAAATAGGAGTTGGTTTAGGCCCCATATCCAATAATAGCTAGTTGAAGCAATAGTGCAATCTCGTGCCAAGAGGAAATCATAATAAAGCCATTAGATTTGGTATGTGTAGTTTGAGGTAAACAACTGGAAATGAAATCCAGTCCCTTTAAGAGACATTTGCAAAATTCCCGTTAGGTTCAGTGTGGCTTGGATTTCATTCCTTGAGTTTAGGGGTATGAATAAAAGCTCCCCTGGCCACACCTTTGCTCCTTGGCTTGGGATTTAGTGTGCCTGCCTAGCTCAGACTCCTGTGCCATTTTACCTGCAGAACTCAGTGTGAGATTGGTACAAGAAAGGGAGCAGGACATGCAAAAATGGCATGTGTGAGAGTGCCTAGAGAAATGTGAGGAAACAGTACCCAGAGTCCTGTTGAACAGAGGAGAGTCTGCTATGCATGCTAACCAAAGCCAGGACTTAAGGGAAAGAAAATGGCAATGCATGTTCGGTATTTGACATCTCTGTTTTCTTTTTAGGAACGTTTTTTGGTGGTTTTGGTGCAATTTGTTTCTCATACTTGTGGACATGTAACTTGAGGCAATTGTTATTATTGGGGAGCCACAGTCAATAGCTAATGACATGGTTGGATGCCAGCGTTGTTGCTGGTCTTGTGTAATGATGATGTTGGTAACGTGAATTAATCGTTTATAGTAAATCCTATGTTTTTCATATCAACCACTTAGCAATTACAGTTATACCACTAAAAACAGTTGTAACTGGTAATCAGTCAGTTACTTTGGTTACAGTTACCCAGTTATGTGTAGATAGCTATGTAATTACCTTTTTGCTGCTGTAGTTTTTGTGGTTATAGGGATCCTTTTTCAAATATAACCTGGCTATAGTTTTCCATCTGGCTAGCCATTTTGGCAGGGCAACAGTATCTAAGCATCTTGTTGGCCCTGGGGGACATTCAGTTCTTCATATCCTTTGGCAGTGGTTGCTCCAGGCTTTTCCAAAAAATTTTGTCATCTTTTTCCCTTGTAGCCTTTTTGCTTTCCTGTTGGATCTTCATCACAACCTCTGCTCTACTGATGTTCCTCTGGGATCTCGGTGGACCCCCCCTGGCATTCATATACTACATACTGCATTGAGCAATGCAGGACAAGAATATTGCCCAAAGTATTCAGTTCACAAGGAAACAGTTAATGCATTAAATGTGATTCCTAGAAAGGGTCTAAGTGGAAGACAGACGCTCTGCTTGCCTTCTTTTGGGAATTTGCTGCCTTCCTGAGTTATGCACCTTATGAACAGAGTTTATCAACATTTTTCCATCAAAATCATTTTTCAAGGAAAATGTAATGCCTGCAAAATGTAATTGTGCTCTGTTCAGTTTTACGGAAAACTTTTCAGTCAGAAAAATCAAAAGGAAAAATTGAACCTCAACTGAAAAATTTTGACTTGGCTCAAAAAGCCAAAACTAGATGTTTGGCTTGAGGAACGTTAAAAAGTTTCATTTCAGCCAAACAGACACCTGTCCCAAATTTAAAATGTTGGGGGCTTTTTTCATCTATAACACTGCCAATATTTCAACTTGTCTCAATTCAGAGTTTAAAATAAATGTTGAAATATCAGAATGTCCTATAAGTTGGAAATTCTAGTTTTTGTTCAGTTCTAGTCATGGATTGGAGAACCCTGTTGTTGACTTTTTCTCTCAAATACTCAAGAGTGAGTACCACAGACATTAACATCCAACTTTCTGGGCTAATAGTGAGAGAGTAAAGACTTTCCTTTTGATTTACTTTTTTAGAATTTTGTGGATACATTTATAAAGTGGCCCAGGCACTTTGCCTGAAAATGCAAAATCCATAGAATTCCATAAAGCTGATCAGCAAGGATTTCTCAGGGATATATATTTTATTGGGATAAACTACATAGACAAGCTTTAGACAAGCTTTACAATACAAGAATGAATAGCTTGATGAAGTGTCTTGCATTCAAAAGCTCGTCTAAAGTTACTCCAGCTACATGTTGGTCGAATGAAAAATACCACCCTAAGAAATCCCTGCCTCTCACATAAGTTGTGGGTCATCACAGCTGCCCATAACTACCCATAAAGCTGAGCGACATTTTTAAAATTATTTTTTTGAGGTTAATGGTATATTTCACTCCATTTTTAATATTGTTCCCTCCCTCCAAATCCTGCAGTGAAAATGTTTAAACCTTTTGCTATCCAAATTCTACTGCAAGCTCTTAAGCATAGATACTTGTCCCATTGACTTTACTCGCCACCGTTGGGATTTGTCCCCAGATCAGGACTCAGGATGGGAAGGAACCTTCCTCTGAGTCCAAATCAAATCTTTCTCACCATTCACTCAGAGCTTGTATCAGACCATGTCTAATATGCAGACATGTGAATCATTTCCCCAAACCTCTCATCTTCCCTGCAGCTGAATGCAGGTCTTTTAACACCAGCTGCACACAGCTCTCAGCACAGGTGTACGTTTCTGTAGTTATGAGCCAATTCTAATTTCAGGCAACTGCAACTTTGGCTCTCAGACCCATTGTCTTTGGTAAATAACTCCATCCTCCTCCTAGCTGCTTAAACCCTGTATGTGTATTTTACTGCTGTCTGAAGCAAACCATGCCTTTAGGTATTGGGCTAGTTTGTGACCTTAGTTACTCTGGTGAAACCCACAATAACCTGTGATTTTGGGTAGAATTGCTCCATGCTTACACTAGCACACCTGGGATTTGAATCTGCCCTGTTGCTTTTTACGTTATGTTTTCAGAAGATTTGGAAAAAAAAAGAAGCAGCAGCAAAACAGGAGGAAGCTGCATTTGGGGCAGGGAGTAGCATGGTAATCAGTTTTCATAAAGTGAGAATGTCTGGTGAGCTCTGTATTTCTGTGAAAAGAATTAGGCTAGAAAGCTGAGTTTAAAAGGATTAATAAAGAGTGTAAGGGCAATCAAGATAAGAGCATGTGATTGGTACACCCTTGCCAGTAGCAGCAACACTGCAGGCTTAAGCATCCTAAGCAACAGAGAAGCAGAGAGAAGCAGGTTTCCTAAGACAGAAAGGGGTAACGTGAAACAAAAAATTGGCGTTGGTGTGCTGATGAGCTTGTGTGTGCTGCTGCTTTTTGCCCCTGAAAAATGGGGGCAAAAACACATGTGCCCGACTGCACGGTTGTTACTGCACGGTCATTTAGTATGTGCTATAGCAAAATAACTGCACAGTTACCGCCGTTGCTGCGTAGTCCTGGCAATGCAGGATCGTTTCTGACTCTACTGCACAGTAGCAGTGGCATCACTGTTCATGTTCACCTAAGCTAGACTGCCGTAGCAACAAGCTATGTCACCGTAGTTTGTCACTACAGCAATATAGCATCTCGTGTACAGACACCCAGTGGGAGCTAGAAAGGACTTTCTCTGGAAATTTGCTACACTGTTGCATGCTACCCAGGGCCTGGAGGTGCTGCTCTGAGCACACAACTCAGGATCAATGGGCTCAAGTGACTTAGAAGGGGAGTGCAGGTGGAAGGTGCAAGGTGTGGTGTGGGTGGGCAGGTGATTTTTTTGTTTTCCAACTATGCATGGAGTATTAAAAAAGCCTTTGATCTGGTGTCCCATGACCTCATGGAAAAATTCACCAAATATGGCCTCAGCTACACCACAGTCCGATGGCTGGGAAATTGGCTCTGAGGTTTGACCCAGAGAGTAGTGGTTGATGACAGCGAGTCATTATGGCACTCTGTAACCAGTGGGGTCCCCCAAGGATCTGTCCTTGGACCGGTTCTCTTCAACATCTTTATCAATGACGTGGACATTGGTGTCAGAAGTGCACTGGCTAAGTTCGCCAATGACACTAAACTTTGGGGCATAGCGTCCACACGTGAGAACAGGCTAGTGATCCAGGCTGACTTAGATAAGCTTAGTAAGTGGGTGGACACAAACTTGATGACGTTCAATACTGATAAATGCAAGGTACTCCACCTTGGAAAACCCCCCCCCGTGGCATACTTGTAGGCTCGGCAGTGCTACGCTTGCTGGCACCACTGTTGAAGGAGACTTGGGGGTCATGATTGACCACAAGATGAACATGAGCCACCAATACGATGTCGCAGCTGGTAAAGCAAACAAAACTCTGGCTTGCATCCATAGATGCTTCTCAAGTAAATCTCAGGATGTCATCCTCCCGCTGTACTCGGCCTTGGTGAGGCCGCAGCTGGAGTGCTGCATTCAGTTCTGGGCTCTGAAATTCAAGAAGGATGTGGAGAAGCTGAAGAGAGTCCAGAGGAGAGCCATGCACGTGATCAGATGGCAGGAGAATAGGCCCTATGAGAGGCTGAGAGCCATGGGACTCTTCAGTTTGGAAAAGTGCAGGCTCAGGGGTGACCTGGTGGCTACCTATAAGTACATCAGGGGTGTTCATCAGGATCTGGGAGAACGTCTGTTCACCAGAGCGCCCCAAGGAAAAACAAGGACCAATGGTCATAAACTCCTACAAGACTGTTTTAGGCTGGATGTAAGAAAAAATTTCTTTACTGTCCAAGCCCCCAAGACCTGGAATAGACTCCCTCCAGAGGTGGTGCAGGCACCTACTCTGGACTTATTCAAGAAACACTTGGATGCTTACCTTGCTGGGGTCCTTTGACCCTAGCTGACTTCCCACCCCCGGGGCAGGGGGCTGGACTTGATGATCTTTGAGGTCCCTTCCAGCCCTAATGTCTATGAAATCTATGAAATTAGCAACCTCTTTGAGCTGTCACCTCGATAGTTGCTTTTTTCTCCCTGAGATGGGTCTCACTCGTACTGCTATTTAGTTGTTATCCGTCTAGATTTATTACAGATGCCCAAAATGATCCACATTCACTGGCTGCCTTTTAAAAAACTGTCCAGTTGCTTTTGAAACTGAATAGCATTACCTGGGGTGAAGAATCTGCAGTGTTTCCTGTATTAGGTTTGCAGGAGCACAGGCAAGACTACAAACCCTTGCTTTTTATTTTCCTTTAGAGAGAGATTTGAGCAGGAGTAAACCTGGATTAGTTGGTGGTAGAAGCCGCAGCTTGCCCTTGCCTATACTTAGAGGTCAGCAGCAGGGCAGCTGCATCAGCAATGGCTGAACTGGGGCCGTTTCCAAGTGCACTAAAGGCCTTTATGTCCACGCATTAAGGATGCTATGATGTAAATTTGCTGCGTCAAAGGAAGCCATTGCTGGAAATGAATTAGTACAACAAGCACTTCCTATTTTGGATGTTGCTGACAGTGCGCTCTCCCTGTCTCTCCTCACGTTTTACTGCTCCAGCCTGTTTTTGCTGCTTACTCCCATCTATTTTGAGATCTTTATAAATGAAGTTTTTGGCTGTACTTTAGCCATCACATAACTACATTTTTGTCTTGCTTTGGGAAAGCCATGTTCTAGCATTACCAAGATTTATGCATTTGCTTTTACATATTGCAGGTGTTTCCATAAAGGCTTGGAATATCTACGTTAAGGATGATGGCCTGGAAGAAAACTATGAAGTGTTTAAAATTACATTGAGTGCACCTAAAAATGTGGTTTTAGGGCAGAAGAATGAACTGACTGTCAGAATTATAGACTCAATGGCAGGTAAGACAGAGCAAGTTGAATATACCTAAAGGGTGTACCTTTTTAAGGCATGTGGTCCCATCCTGCCAGGTGCTGATGAGTCTGTCTTCCAAATATGAGAGCACCCTTCACTATCAGGAAGTTCTCAGCATCTTGATGGATAAAACATCAGTGATTGCTGCAGTACCAAGCTCAAGTTATGTAAAGGACAGTCACATAATTGCATGCTATGCACACTCGGACAAACCCTGTCCCTGCCACCACTTCAAGGGGAGCAGGGATTTTTGCAAAAGTGTCCTCTGTTCCACCAATCTTGCCAGGGGAGGCTATGCAGTAGATCCCACTTTACTGCTGCTTTATAAAGAAGCACTCTTTTTCTTGGTTAATACCCTGCTGACCCCAGCATAGCTGCTACTCTGCTGGAAAGTTAGATCCTGAACATGGTCCCATCTGGTATTAACGTGAGGCCAATGTAGAAGCTCCCCCTTTCCCATCCCCGTTCTCTGCAGAGCTCTTAGAGGCTAACATGCCCTGCTACTTGCAGGAGAGCAGCAGTTCCCTTTCCCAACACTCAAACCCCACAGTACAAAAAAGGCCAAGGCCTTTTTTTTTTTTTACTCGTTTAAGGCTCTGAGACGGTGCATTTTCCAGAGTTGGCTAAACATAAGAGAACTGCCATCTGATGACAACAGCCCGAAGCAGAACTTGACTCAGAAAGAGACGTGGTAATTTTTTGTTTTGCTTTGTCTTGAAGTGAGACCAAGAAGGGCTCCTGTTACACAAAATGCAGCTGTTTTCTGAGGAGCACCAGCACTGGAAAGCACAGTGTGATAAACACTTAACTAGCCTGAGTCGCTGCTGAAGAGTTTTTGGATTTGGGAGTGTGCTCCATGGATGAAAGCACATAGCACCCCAGACCAGATGGGTCCTGGAAAGTCACTAGGTTCAGCATACAGCATGCTCCCAGGGCTAATGCTACCTCTGAGCATATTTTAGCAAACTGCTTCCTGTTCCTGTAGTGGCAGGATATTGCCATGCCCTCGCCTCCCTACTTTCACCTGTGACAAGTTCAAGGTACTTTTGGTACTGTATAGTGCTTATGATCATTCAGGTATTATGCCTAGTAGTTGTGTGTGAGGATTGTTCATGAAGTTTTTAAGAACAGGTTACGAGCACTTGTCTAAGATGGTTTAGATAGGGATGATTGTGATTGTCTGTCGTTCAGCCCACTTTTCACTGATTCTATGGTTAAATTAGACTCTTTCTAAAAATACTACTTCTAATAATAATATTAATAATAACAAGAGCAGGACTTTTGGGGGGAATGATAAAATTAAACAATTTGGTACAATGGGAAAAACTGATAGGCCCCTCTACTCCCACCTCCTCTTTTTATATGGTACTTCCTGAAAGTCTGGCTGAACTGGTGGCTTGTATTCACCCTTATGCCAGCTGTAATCCATGTCTAGAGTAACTTCCTTCCCTCCCTTCTGTCTTACATTCTCCCAGGTGTTAGCTTCTCGAAGACAGTTCGTGCAGATGTTGCCCAGGATAAAGATCACATATAATTAAGGCAAGAAGAAGCAGCCAGAATGCACTGCACACATTAATGCTGCCTTAAGTACAATTGCTTTCCATACCACACTCTTCTCTGCTCTTGAAAAAAAGAAAAAAAATCAGCCATGGAACGGACAGCTTTATGCTTAGCTGGCGTCTCTGGTGTCCTTGCTAGACAGCCCCATCATAGGCACTGAGGAAGAGGCACACAATGTATTTTGGGCAAATGAGTGCACAACGTTGTATGTTGAGATGCGCTATCCTGTATTTTGGTTAGGCTTATTCCAAGTCTGAAATGAAACCAAATTTCCTGCTGCCATAGACAAGGTTGTGTGCTGACCTAAATGTGGGTCAAGAGTGACACCGTGTGGTCAAGTTATTCTCAGCTCCACAAGGATTTCTTTCTCTCTCTTTTCCCCTGGTTTTCTTCCCCCCACCCCCTTATAGTTTGAACAAATGTTTATCAAGGCAGAGGCTCATAGCCCAATGGATGAATGTGCTTCTCACTAGACCTGTGCTCTTGGAGCAACCCGCTTGGGTTTCAGAGTGGAGGCTGTCACCTGAGTTGACATGGCAGGAGTCATTTTGATGTTCAGGACAATGCTCTAACACACAAAGGGATGCCTTGTTTAACTCCTTCCTTTGAAGCATCTGCATGGGCACTTGTTGAGGAGCAAGATATCAGGGGGAGTAGACTGAAAAACTGGCCAACCTTAGATTTGAACCCAGAGCTACAAAATGCATGAAAGTGCATGAGGCATCTGTTCCTCAGGGGGTTGGGTGCTCAGCATGTCAGGACTGGACCCTGACCCATTTGGATTCCTTAAATCTCATCTATGAAGTTCTTATACCCATTGAAGATGTTTCCACCATGGGCAGGCTGCTCTTATTTAACATTTTTTGCTATGTGAAACTCTCAATGTCCAAAGTATTTATAAACCTCTGCCCATGTTGACAAGAGTCCTTCAAACTTTGGTTCAGATTGCACCCGGGTGAAAGAGAAACAGTGCCTCTCTGTCCTCCTCACACTCATCCCTCATTCTCCTTCAACAAGCCCTAGGATATTTCCTGAAACAGCCAAGGAAAGGTGGTGGTGGTGGTGGTCTTATTGACTAATAACATTTTTCTGAAGAGTATTTAATTAATTGAGTCCTAATACCTAAAGTAATTGTAGAGATTGGCTCCCTTCCAGTCTATACAAACTGACCTGCAACACTTGCTGCACAAATCCCTTCACCAAACTAAGCCTACTGGGATCGCATTGTCTAGCTTAAGCATGTAGAGCACATCCTCAGTTCATGAAGGATGGTTTCTGTGGAGTTACATTGACTTACGATATTTGAGAACCTGGCCCTCTGTGCTTTTTGTCATATAAAAATTATGACTGTCCCTGCCCAAGGAATAAATGATTTTATACTCCGCAAAAGTTTCTTAATCATTCACTTATTATTTGGATCCAACTGCAGAAAGAACTAAAATTTCTGGGAAGGACCCTGTATTTATGTGAAGGTAGTTAAAAGGCTTTCAGAAACCTCACAAAGATTTTTGTCTCCAATTTCCCTTCCCACCATTTAATCTTCTGTATCTACCAGCTGAAACTAAACGAGGATTCTTTTGCACTGGTTTCCTTTGCTGTAAAAATACGAGGCGTAATTACTTAATGACATCCATATATCAGTAGAAGCACTCATGTAGAGTCAGTGGGAAAAAAGTGCTTCTGTTAGCATAACTTAGTGCATTCAGAGAACGGGTATATGCTCTACAGGCCAAAAGCATATTTGTGCTGATAGAAGCTGTATCCACAAAAACAAAGCTGGTAGCTCTGTCCATGTAGCTGTTGGGGAAGTTCATGCATAGACTTGTCTTAAGCCTGTCTGTAGTGGTGGTGCTCACCCCTACCTTGGAGGTCTTGAATAGGAGACTGGACAAGCATCTGGCTGGGGTCATCTGACCCCAGTGCTGTTTCCTGTCCAGGGCAGGAGGTTGGACTCGATGATCTACGGTGGTCCCTTTCGACCCTAACATCTACGTATCTATCTGTATGACTTGGACCATGGGTAGGAGGCATTCTCTTTAAAACAGTAGGAGCTGGGATCTCCTACCCTTGCCACTCAGACGTGAACGTGGAGCCACTTTTAGGCTGAGGAGCAAAAGATGAAAATCATGTATTCAGTCTCCAAGGCCTTCTAGAACAAGGTCATGAAATGAACAATTTGGCCCAAAATATATAAGGAGAGCATGACTGTATGCGACTCATGACACTAAGACAGACATTCATTTGAAGCAAATCCTGCTTCAAATTTGGAGCACTTCAGCTCTGCTCAGATGTGAAGTCCAACCTCCTTGTCCTGGAGCACTTCAGTATGGTCGTGAAGGCACACAGAGGTGATGCTCTCCAGTCAAGGGGCTAGAGAGTAGGAATCCCTGCAGGCCTCTCTACCTTCAGGCTCTGGAGGTTCCCAAGGGCAGCAGAACATGCAGGGGAGTGCTCATTTGTTGTCTTCCCTACTGTCACCACCAGCACGGGAGACAGAGGAATCCAGAGCACTGTGGGATACACGATGCACTGTGGAGGACCAAGCAAACCCCTGTTGCACTCCCCTGCAGGGTGCAGATGTTTCAGGAAGCACTTCAAACTGAAGCATTTTGAAGATGTTCCTCTCTTTTCAAGAGTCATTTTTAAGCATTTTGGATATTTTTTAAGTGCTTCGTTGTGTGTGAACATCTGTTCTCTCATTGTTTGTAGCACCTCAAACAGCACATCTGTCCATGGGCTACAAATGTCATATTTATGTTGTTGTGCTGTGTGGCTTAAAACTAGGTGGCTGTGCCTCATCAGGCTTCAGTGACACTTTGGAAATGTTGGAAAGAAGAAGTAAAGTTTCAGAAAGTGCACAGCATCCTGGATGTTTACCTTTTAACAGTAGGAGATGGAAGATCCATCAGGACAAAAATGTGGCTGTTGAGAGGGATCAGCCTCTCGATTCTTCTTCTAGGGCAGATGTCCCTCAGACAGGTCACCTGCCTCACCATCCAGACATGGATTTTCAAGGTGTTGCTAACAGGACGCTTGCCAGAAAATGGAGAAAAGCTGCAGATAGCCCAAGGATGGTATGTTTGTGTAACTTTACAGAGGCAGTAGATATCTGTAGAAAGAATGTGGTATCATTGCTGGGCTATTAAACTTAGTGACCCTGCAGTTCAACCACAGGCTGGTTTCACTTGGTGAAATCACTGGGTGAAATTCTGTGCTTTGTAGGCAAGCTGTCAGAGTCAACCCAAACACCACTGGTGTATTAAGTCCCACTGGATTTGCCTTTCTGTCCCATCGCTCCCTTCCTAGCATGGCTTCTCTAGCATGCCACAGAACAACACCTGCTCTCCCCACCTCTCATCTCCCTGGGCCCTGGGTCTTCAAACACTGAGGAGAATACCAGGTAATCAGCTTTTACTCCATTCCTCTCTTCTATCGGAGTTTGACTGAGTAGAAACTGAGGGCCGAGGTCTCAAATGGTCATGCTAGCAGAGAATAACACCCTGAGCAACAAGTTAAGTTTCTGTCCCCAGAATTTGATGCAACTCTTTCCTCATTCAGCAATCTGAAACATTTTTGATTTCTTCTGTTGCCCTTCGGGTGGGGAGAGAAGCAGTATTTTACATGGTTTCCGTCTTTGCTAATGGAAAACAACAAAGTAAATGTTACCATGTTTGAGTAATAAAAAGGGAGTGAACTGTAAGACACCTTTAAAACAGCACTTCAAACCCAGCTGCAGTGGACAGTGACAAAAAGTTACCTTCCACTGGCTGGTTGATGGTATGCATCTCCTAACTGATGGTCTCAGACCAGTTTAGGGCACATATACACATGGTGGGAGATGCTGAATACACAAGACACTGCAGGTGTTTTAATTCAAATGCCCTTTTCCCCTCCACCTCCCCCTGGAACATATGTAAAAATGGGCTCAGTGACCAAAGTTACCTTCAGAGAACCTCCTGGCACCCTTGTTAGCAAGGAGACCAAGAACGAAGTTAATGATCTCTCACCCTTGTCTAGGGCACAGATTCTGGGAATACTGGTGGGGAGAGAAAGGAAATCTTGAGGTCTGCTGCCCTAATGGCATCTGCCGTCTACTGCAGGCTCTAGGATAATTAACATCAGTGGATTATATGGCCAGTATTTATAGAAGTGTTGTCATTTGTATTTTCTTTTTTTTTTTAAACAAAAGACAAGGTTAAGGTCTTTCAGCAGGGACAAATGTTATTAAATAATAGATCCCTTCAGCCACTTGCTCTATGAGGGCAAAGAACTAAAGAAAAAACACTGTGATCCTATTAATAACAGTTCAGATTCCTGCTGACACTGCAAAAAAGTCAGTCTACAATTATGAAGATTGTTCTCTTTAGTGGTGCATTAACTGCTTTGAAAAGTTGTAATAGGAAAAAGAAATAAATGGAAATTCTGTTAATGAAACAGAACAATAAAAATAAAAGTTAGGGATGGAAGAAATCTGTTGGGTCCCATCCAGTTCTTTGCCTGTCAGGTTGGATTCTTGCCTTTGGTAATTTATGCTATAGCCAAAGAAATTAAAATAGGTTTCATTTAGTACTGAATGATGATACTCTGTATATATACAGTTTGTGCTCTTAAGACAGAAAGCGGTAAAGTATCTATAAACCTACTTTGCAGAGGCTAGTGAAATTATCCTCTGATGGTTACACATGATGACTGGGAGAGTCATGACTAGAACAAGGATCTCTTAATGCCCAGTCCCCATTTCTCACCTGCCTGCCCTATCAGTTGTATTATCCTCTGTTGCTTATATTGTGCTAAGTGCTGCACTAAGTCAGAGGAAGGCACTGTGACTTTTCCAGTGTGATATAACTTAAGGGGAAAAGGAAGCCCAAAGAGGTGAAGTGACTGGCCCAAAGCAGGTCAGTGACAGAGCATGGGAGTTAAACCTAGATCTCTTAAATTATAATCACATGCAATTTACAATGAGCCATACCTAGA